GTCGCGTATCTTCGCAATGAGAGGCACGAGGCCCGAGAAAGAGAGACGCACGAAGTCCAAATATGGGCATAGATAGTCGAGCGTCATTATGCGCAGGCGCGTCTACTAAGCGAGTGCGAGCGAGACAAAGCATTGGAAAGTGAGAGAAAGAACGCGAAAAACAGAAATACCCAAGCGTGCTTGGATGTTCACCGCATGCGCACAAAGCAGCTGGACCTTGCGCGAGAGAGAGGCTACTATATTGTCTGCACCGTAACATTTGGGCTTCAGGTCGGCATCAAGAAAAATTCATGGCACAAATTGATCAGCGCCATTTTTGTTTGGCCTGGTATTTGAGCAAATCAGAAGCGCGTTTCACGCGCGGTCCCGTTGTAATGTAGATGACGGAGATGAAAAAGTAACAAAATAGAAAAAGTTTCTTTAGGAGTTTGTAGTAAAAAATTTACGTAAAATTAATACACAAATTAATAAACAAATATGTATAAAAGGACTTTTGCTCGTTAATACGATATAAGTATAAATTTGCCCATTAATACAATGTAAAAACCTACCGTTTTTAAAATAGTAAAAAAGGCACAAAGTATACGCGCGCTTGTTACAAAATATCATTGTATCTTCAAACAAAATGGTTTTATTTTAATTATTAAAAAAATGCAAATAATAAAAAATTCAATTATTGCAAAAATTCATTCAATACAATTTCAATTATAAATACAATTCAATACAATTCAATACAATTTCATTTCAATTATAAAAAAATGCAATATTATTTCTATCTACAACATCCTAACCTAACGATTTTCATCCTACATTGTTAATACATGCAACTGATATATTTCACACCAAAATCCTTACCTATGAAATGAAATCCCCTTTTCACTTCTTCTTTCTTCTTCTTTGCTTATATGGCGCACGCCCTTGCGCGAGAGGAGCAAACGCCAGTCTGAGACCGCGTGTATATTACGAGTTGTATAGGGAAGTTTGATTTCAAGGGACGTATCAGCCACACTGTCACTTCATCCTTGTTTTACACATGACGCGCAACAAGAACAGAATGTCGCAACAGCGCAGACAGCGCTCTACTCGAACGTAGCCACGGAAGGTATATGGAATTGGTAAGTGAGGTTTATATGTTTACGTTGGTAGTGTTTACGAATGAGAGGAGAGCGAACATGGCGCGAAAACATTTGGAAAAAGCGACCTCCTCCACACTATAAGGGGGGCTAAAGCCATTGTGGAATAAATCTATTATTAGCTTTTCCGACTGAATCTTATAAATGGGACAATAAAAGAATATATGATTGATATCTTGAGACGGGTGTCCACACGAACACTCCGAAGAGGTCATTACTCCCTTTTCCTTTAAATGAGCATTTACTGCTGTATGACGTGAACGTATTCTAGATATTAGTGTAACTAAGGGGCGAGGCAAAAATTTCTTTTTTTTAACTTTAATAAACCACGGTTTGTCTAAGGGTACGGGTTTACGTTGGAAGTACCTAACTCCTTTGTGGGTCGCATCACTTAGTAACTTCTCTCTGGCCAATCTTACTGTATCGGACCGAAGGGAAGGGAACAGCGAGGAGACCTCCAACTCGCTTCCAAAGCTAGGTTCTGGAAAAGCCAAGGAGAGATTTGCGTACTTATCTGCCTTCTCATTGCCCAGGATACCACAGTGCCCGGGGACCCACACCAGCTTGACTGACACGCCATCGTCTTTAAGTCCAAGAACTAGCTCCTTTATTTGATACACTAACGGTGAGTGGACACCTCTAGGGTCCATTGATCCAAAGCACGTGATCACGCTGAGTGAGTCCGACGCGATCACGACCCGAGGAAACCCAAAGTCCTTGAGGTACTCCAGCGCACAAATAACGCCGCGGGCTTCCGCTTCAAAAACAGTGGAATTACTGTTTATGCGTTCATAATGGACGAGATCGGGTTCGTCTGAGACCACAGCAAAGCCAACTGCTAGTGGTGTTTCATCCGAGCCCGGGGAAAGAGACCCGTCAGTAAAAAATATCCTGATAAGGCCACGGTCCCTGAAGAAACCTTCGAGATACTGCTGGGGGTAGACCCTTGCGCCGCCGTGTTACGCCGCCGCCGCCGACAAATTATCATCCGCCGATTCCGCCGCCGCCGAAAGAGAAAATTTTCGGCGAATCCGCCGCCGCCGCCGCCGAAAATTAATATGGCGCGCTAAAAAAAAGTAAAATGCTATATGTGTTTTATATATATTGGTTGAAGTGTATTCAGACCGAAGCACAGACTTTTGCATAACGCATAACGCATAAGACATAAGAAAATCAACCAATCCAGCCTTCCATTTTCATCCCTACTTTTCGTTCTAGAAGGCTTTGATTGGTTGATTTTCTTATGTCTTATATTTCTCTTCGCCGAAAGGATCTTCTACAATAAGATATGAGTAATAAATCAGAAGTCAGAAGTAAGAAATTGACTAAACACAATCGATTATTTTTTTGTGATTTGACTGTGATTGGTCGATTTCTCGCTTCTAACTTCTGATTTATTACTAATATTGTAGAAGGTT